CTGTTATCCCAATATCCTGGTTGGATGAAAGAGCAATATCTGCTTTGGCTCATCATATGCAGATGTTGAATTCCGGTTTTTTTTAGGTTAGGTTAGTATCTCTTGTTCTGAGTAATTTTTTAATAAAAGGAGGGCTTGAATAGTACTACAGTAGCACATTATGAAAAAGTTGCAAATCCAATATATTCTATACAAAGAACTGTGTCGTCTTAGAATCGGGATACAGGCATGGATCTCCTATCCAAATCAAGATTTTGTATCGTGTCTAGGACTTTGTGGCGTTAGGGTGGCTAAAAATGATACGTCGTTAGCGATACATCACCCAAGTCGAGGTGAAAAGTTAAAACGTGTCTAGAACTGTGTGGCATTAGAGTGGATAAAACTGATATGTCGTTAGCTTTTTCCCCCTCAAGACTCAAGCACATCTTGTTGTATATAATGAATGCCTTGCCTCCCTATTAAAGCTCTGGGGGACGACCGTTATCGTGTCTATTATTATAACAATTGTAACAAGATTGTTACAATTGTTATAATTAATAAATAGTGTAAAATATGTTCAAAAACATGCTTTTACTCTAACTCTAATGTTCTCCTTTGCTTTGGTCTTATGATTAATGAAATATGTTTCTTTGAGGCTATTTAACATCTCNTTAATCAGATAAGTATTCATATAGAGCATCTGAAAGAAAATGTCTTCGCAGCGTTGTCACACTGTTTCCGAAGTATCTAGTCCTACATACGTGCAAAAGTTTCCAGTCTTCTCAGAACTGAAAAACTCTGCCACGTTGTTTTTATTTGTTAAATCGATCATCAGGAGAATCTCAATCTTCAATCAAATTTAAAGAAAGGAAGCACCTAATGAAAGACCTTACATTAGAATCATCTATGAATAAGAGGACCTGACAGTGTCAGTGTCAGTGTCGGTTATTCTGCGAAATATTGGTATCGTCCAGTAAGTGTTAGTGTCTTATAGAGGTTTATAATTGATAGTGATTCTGTATTTGAAAAGCGTAGCAATATGTCTAACTTCAGCAACAAATTCGTACAGACTAAGAGCATTCAATCATCACTTCTATTATGTCAGCGAGTGAAAGAGGATTTCTTGATCATTCATATGCTTCGTGATGTTCGGTTATTATTCAGAAAGAGAATGATATCAAGGTTCTTTACCGTGACAAAAAATAAAGTTGTCTCAACGTAAAGAAATATGGACATCAAAGTTCCTCATTTCATTTTGATAAGGCCCTTTCCCGTCCAGTCTTTGAAACTCTTTCCTGCCGTCAAAGAAAAAAAACAGTTTTTTTATTTCACTCAAGTGGAGAATTGGAAAACTTTTCGAAACAAACTGAATCACTCGGCCTTCTGTCGACTACAAAGAAGTGAATAAATAAATTTTCCCGTTATATGGAAGTTATTTAATTAGTTTCCTGCCTTTAATTAGAACTGATGGAAAGTCGGCCCGTAAAATATGAACTTCTAGTCTAATGCGTTAATTTTTACGAGGCCCCTTTCCTCTGCAATAAGGTCGTGTGTCACTCTCAGATAATAATTAATTATATGAGCTACAAACTTTTGCAAATTCGAGGCTCTTTCCGGAAACAAAATTTGCAAGAAAGCCTCATGATGTTTGATTGTGATGTTCAATAGGCAATATTGTGAAATTAATTTTTATATAACTGAAAATTGTTTTATATAAACATATATTGTAAAATAATAGATAAGGCAAAATTGTAAAATTAATTTAATCTTTGTAACAGCCCAGCTATTGACTGCAACCCCACGAATTGAACCGATTTATAGTTAATCCAGTCACTAATTATTCTGTTCTGTGAGAATTTATTCTTGGACAATAAAGTATATTTATTTATCTATCTATCTATACTTGAATGCCATACTACTGTGTTGTTATCAGCAAATACAGTTAATATTGCTTCAATATATGACGAATTACAAAGGGCCGAGAACGGAACCCCACAAAGAATATATGTGCTACCTTCCATCCTCCTTTTTTCGTAAATTAGACAAAGAAGAAGAATATGTATTGCACAAGGCTAGACTTAAAGGATATACTGTGCAAAGTTATTCATATAATCACATCCTAAACGACAATATGGGGAGTCAAGGTTAGGTTCTTTGGTGCATTGTCGTGCAAACTATCCTCAATACATTGCCAAAGTGAGTTCGAATTATATCTAGGGGGTTAGGTAAGGTTAGGTTGAGTACAGCGCCATCTGCCCGCGAATAGATGAAGCAATAATGTCGATATATCAAGGAGGTTACCTACAACGCCATCTGCCGCGAATAGATCAAGCAATAATGTCGATAATTCTGTCAACTACAGATCCTGAGCTTGAAACTTACAAACAAAGAAACATACATACATACACACATACATACATGTGAAGCTAATAAAAGCTTGTTGAAATAAAATAATTTTTCCAATGTTTGAGTTAGTCACAGATGGTGAATTCGTATTACATTTCATCATGAGTACCACTCAGTCTGGCCGTTAAGATTGTGGATGACTTTCGTTCAATTCCCTTTGACGTGTTCCCACTTCATTCTTGAAAAATGAAATATCCAGGGTGTATATCACATATGCAACAGAATATTCAGCTGATTAACGGAAAAAGATATTTTTTCAAAGATCCAATTTTCATAAAGTATCTATTCCTTCATACAGTATATGTTATCACATGAACTCCCAAGTCAAACAAAGAAAATATTAACTCGGCGGAAGTAACATAAAATATTTATGAATTGAAAGGGTTTCACAATCATTTATCCATTAGTGGGTATGCAAGAAATAATGGAAGTGAAGCCGTTTACGTCGTTTGTATCATGTATCAAAGATTCGGTCAGGGTAGTTCACCTAAAGAAACAATGAATATTAGGAATCATTGTCAGAAAAATCATTGAAACAAATCAATATTAGTTTCTATGAACTTTGAGACGATGATGATTTCAACTAGAATAATTGCCCATTCAGATAAATAACAATGCGTAACCCTGAATTGAAACATGTCAATCTTTGTATTTACTTCTGATATCGATAACAGAGCTGTATAACTTCTTCAAACGTCAATATATTGCAGTAGAATGTGTTGCATAAATCATTTACAAAAAGTAAAAAAAGTAATGGTCCAAGAGCAGACCCTTGAGGGACTCCACTAGTGGCAGGATGAATATTTGAAGATAAACCATCATTGTAGACATACAAGAGACTTTTGTTCAAGAAGAACGCTACCAATGCTGAGGATGGGTAGATTCCACTCCCTTTTTTGTTTCTCCTCAATGAAACACCAGTTTTGTAACATACAATCATAAATCTACCGAATATTTACCCGTCTTCCTAGTGTCTCATCAGTCGTCATCCAGAAAACCGCCGATCCATGCCTTTCCCATCCTGTATCCGTAAATCAAAATGGCGGCCTCTGCAGACCCACTTCCTCTAACACCGGGGTCGTTCGCAGTAAATTCGTGTTCTGGTCACAGTTAGCAGGTTATTGATGATAATAATTGATTAGAATTATCTACTGGAAACTACTCCTCTGGCGATGGTTCTCGGAAGCCGTGTACAGGGCCATAACGATCGGATTTCTGCAATTGGATACGAAATTGGGGACGGAGTAAATTGCCTGCTCATTCACCATTCTTGTTCGATGATAATCACCGTATTATTATCAAAGAGGAACTTTGATGTAAGAGGTATCTTTCTGATGAGAGGTATGTTTCTGATGAGCATGCTTGCACAGCACCATTCTGTAACTATAAGTAGAGATGAAAATATATCTGGAGGTCTAAGTTTGGAAAATATATTAACATTTCTTTGTTTTTTAGTAAACCAATCATTATTACGTAGCTACATATTACAATGTGAATGAAATGAAGTTGAAATTATAGGCGACGAGAAAAGGGAGCTGTATGAATCAAATTTCTATGGTCAAAAATATGGTCAATCGTCGTAGTTTTCTGTTGAAGTGTAATAAAACTTGGCAACAATGTGATTTTTGAGTTCTACTGCCAAGAATCTGATTCCTGAATACAAGTCAAACTCCTAGGCCTGATTTTCTGGCTCGAAGGCAAATTTTCAGTTGAGAATTTCAAGCATAATTTCAATGTTAACAGCCATAATTCTAACGTATGTCAAGACTGAAGTAAGGTCAGAATTTCAACAACTCGCACATCAAGATTTCAAGAAACGGTTGAAAGAATCGGAAACTCGAATTCTCCATACAAACGAAAAATCGGACTCAATATCAGAATTTCAAGATTCAAAGTCTCAATTCGGAGATACACGTTCGAAAAATCGGAACTTCAAGTTTGAGATCAAATCTTCGACCTCAAAGTCATATTTTCGAGATTTAAAATCGAAATTTTGAAATAAGTGTCAGTTTCGAACGATTAAAATCTGATTTCAAACATCAACTCTAGTTTTCAGCCAGATTTTCCAGATGAAAATAAAATTTTAAATAAAAAAAATCCAATAAACAATTGTTCACTTAGATAATGATTATAGTTGAACAATACTATTTTCCAAATGAATATCTCTCTTCTACGTAGCTTTCCGGCCAAAACAAGTGAAAGAAAATGTTCCCTGGATGATAAATGCTGCGGAATTGCAAAGTTTAGGTACAGAACTCTCTCAACATGTCAGTAAAAACTAAAGAGTCCTAATGCGAGGAACGCTCATAGTAAACTTCCTGGAACACTAAAGTCGTTAGCAAACTTTCCACTTTAAATATTGCAGTGTCGATAAAAATAACTTGATGCATATGTAACAAGTAAAGTTACTTCGATGGAGAGGCAGTATCATGATGCTAGCTTTCAAATACTCTCCTTCGAGAGTATTTGTTGCATTGTTGTAAAGCTATAAGTTCCATTTTTCCATGGTCTAGCAGCCCGGGTTTTGTACCTTCTAATCAGGAATAATATAGAAAGTCCAGAATGAAATGAGACTCTGGGTATAAAATCTCATCACTTTTTCATTTTTCTTCCAGACCCTCGAAGACAGAGAACGAAAGCACTCAGTATATAAGGAGCAGTTGAGCCGGGAACAAAGGTTTCTCGCCAGGAGACTAGAGCAACTGTCGTTACATTTTGCCATGTCAAAGAGGCGTTCCGTATCGGAATGTTCCTCGTCGACAATGTCTAGTAGTTATTCCACCACGTCCTTCTCTTCTGCGCCTTCGCCCATTTCCGAATCAGGTGAGTGTTCTTTTTCTTTTCTTTCATCAAGGAAGTCTTGTGTAACATGAATCATTTAGAATTATCCTAATAACGCGTATCGTCGCCTAAGTACTCCTTTCAATGGCATTTCAAAATAATAATTACATTGTGTTCTCTATTGTGATGAATACTTTTATTGAGAAGAATATGAAGAAACAGGTCTGGAACCGACTCATGGTGCTTGAAACTTGCACTCCATACAAATTTCCTGAGGACAAATGAAGAGATATCTGAGAAACTGTGAAGAAAGGACGTGTTTGATGAAAGGCCCTATGAATGTTTGAAGAGACTGAATATCAAGTTAAATCCAGACCACCATCCGAAACGAACAGATATTTATGTTGAAAGCTGAATCGTTCAACAGCTAAAAATAAAATGAAGCGTACACCTCGACACCGCTAAAAATCATTCGTAATCAATTTTCTGGATTGGAAATGTGCGCATAAGCGACAATTTCACCACAACGGATTATTTCATTATCTTGGCGAGTGCGTGCAGAAATATCCTCCCGATGAATATTTCCGGAAGTGGAAAATCAGTCGCTAATTGGAGAATTCGAAGGCGAGCTGGCAGAGAATTTTTCAATTCCATCACGTTTTCCTAATAACCAATAATTCAGGATTCCATACCAGAAATTATTCAAAGGGATGGCGGGTGACATCCCCTACGTACACGGAGGTCATCAGCGGGGTTCTCAAATGCGATATGCAGGTGATTGATTGGACTCCATTAGGATAATTAATGAATAATCTGAAGTGAACGTTGGAGAGAATGTTGAATTTATCAAAAAATAAACGACACTGTATCAAAATATCTTGTTATATGAATTTTAAGATGATAACAGTTATAGTAGCAGTAACGAGTAACGAGCAAAATGAGTTTAATAAACCTAGATAAAATTAGTGAGTAACAACATATTTTTTTAAAAAAGTGATACACAGTGACAATGAAAATATTGAGTCAAAATAAAGTAATATTTGTTGTTATCAAATTAAAACGGTGCAAATTGTCCAGAACTATTTCCATGTGCAATAAACGTTTCCAAGTAGCTGGGTCATTATGTAGGCCAAACGGCATACGTTCCAACTAGAACACTCCGTTTGGATAATTAATTCATAATTTGATGTGTCGCTAATCGTTAAGAAATATATTGAGCTTATCAAAAATCAAACAACACGACATCAAAATATCTGCTAATATAAATTTTCAAAATAATAACAGTAATAGCGACAGTAATGAGTTGGCAAAATGAGTTCGATAAACCTAGATAAAGTTCCATGACATATAGTAACAACATAAAATCCTTTCATTAAATGGTACACAGTGGCATTAAAGAATTGAATGAAAGTAAAGTAATTTTCGTTACAATTATGAATCACAACGTTTCGAATCATCCAGAACCGTTACCATGTCTGTAAAACGTTTCCAAGTAGTCGGGTCATTATGTAGGCCAAACGGCAAACGTCCAAACTGTTTTAGGGACAACAAAGTTAGTTAAGGGCCTAGATTTCTGCTACAGAAACTTGTCAATACTCACATCCAAATAACTTCTTTTGCTGGGTATATTTCTCAATAGAATGTTTCAGTAGAGAATGGAAATGCAAAAGGAAAATCCCACGATCCACCGCTTTCTCTAAACCATTAGAAGAGAAAATGAGCAACATAAAAAGCGAAACATGGAATTATTAAAAGAAAGTTCCATCAGGATCAAATGAGCACAACCTAAATAATAAACTCGGAGGCAGCGAAGGGCTTACAGTTGAATAATTTCACCATTTCTCGCTCTGTCATCAAGCATTGATAAAAATAAATGAGAATAGTGAAATCAGTTGAGCGAGCGAAATGAGATGAGAGAGATGGAGAGAAATAGATTTTTGTCCCAATCATTTGATAACGAAAATGGCTGCAATTTGGTGCATCGCGTGTCGAACCGAGGGATCGACTCGAATCGAGTTACGTCATTCGTCTGTTTTTGCGATATTCGATCAACTATTCAGCATATTCCGTGGAAATTCCTTTACCGAAGGGTGAAATTTTTATGTGTCTGGTGGCAGAAGGTTTTTGATAGAATGTGTAGTATAATCATCCACCCTTCATTCACCAAACAAAAACTTTGTGAGAAGATGTACAAAAAATAATCCCCTGTGAATGAGCGAACTGAATAGTGAAAGACCTAAAGAAACACTTTTGATTACACTTCGCGTAATTCAAATGTTCATATGAAATTCATTTGATTTTTTTATATACGTTTGATACAATTACATACAATAAGTCCTTGTTTGGTAAGCAAGAATCATCAAAAGTGGAAACAGATGGGAATATTTTTAAAAATTTTGTTTTCTGGTTATCGATTATCCCACTTCTGACACCATTCTTGATTCCGCTCCTCATTAAGGCTCACTATTCAAATAATCATTTCAATGAGTTGAAAAAAAAGGTTTCGGCTTTCTACTTCTTCACACTCCATACAAAAAAATGTGGGAATCTTGCAAAGAAAGGAAGGGAGCAAATCAATCACCAAAATCAACACTATTGAAGGGTTGCAAATGCTGCAATGGTTTTTGAGTCAAAACTTGTCCATCTAACACACTTTCTCTGGTAGTTTTTCCTTGTGGTATGTTTTCTTATACCCACCCTACATGAGTCAGATAATTATTGAGTCATCAGAAATGTTAAATCACAATGAATAATAATAACAAGTATTCCCTGTACCAGATATCCTATTTCAGAATGAAAAATAGGCAAATTGATATCATGATATAGCTCTAACATGATGTATATGTAATTACTATGCACTGTACAAATTCGAATCCATTCTCAAATCATCCGAAAACCCTACAAATATGTTGATTACAGATTCAATCGATAGCTGAATTGCCTCCAACAATACGTTTCATAATTAGTTCCACCCATTCGAATATTTGAACGTCATAGATAAAAACTTCATAGTTACTAAATGAGATATTCATTACATTAAAATGAAAATGACGATTACAGGCTGGTAATTCGTTGAAAATGCCGCCATGTGCGGCATATAGAGTATCCAATTATTTTCGAATTACTGGTGATGTCAAATATAATAGAAATGTGAAACTTTTCTAGCTGCTTCAATCGAAGTCCATATCGATTTATCGCATTTGTTGGACGGCTTTTGATTTGCTACTCTACCCTAAACAGAGACTTCGAGATATAATCTACTGATGATGTCTGTCGTAGTAGCAGCCGAAACGTTAAGTACAGTCAAGTTCCAACTGTGTCAAAAGTTTATTTTTCGGGGTTGTGGCCGTGGTTTGCCTTCGATAATGAATAAGGTGTGACAATCAATTTTGGAAATTAGTTTAATATGGCAGTTGTGAAATTATTTTTGTGGTATCAGGGACCACAGTTTTTCATTGATAAATGGGTGGATTTTGGCTGGTATGGATGAAAATGGTTATTCTCGTTACATCTTAAATGAGTTTTTTCAGTAATAACTTCTAAACAATAATTTAGCTAAGTTAAATTTCTATGTCAAGTTAATTGTACGGAGAGATGAAAAATTCCAAGTGCTAATAACTGGAATGACTCAAAAGTTTTTCCTTTTCTCCAATAATCAATTCGAAAGCATCCATTCGATTCCTCTCCTTGCCAATGTCTCCAACATAAAAGTTGCCATCAGACCGTGAAAAGTGAGCCTCCTCCTCTGAGACCGTCAGCCGTTTTGCGTTCCTCGCGAAATTTTCGTATGATTGATTACTCTTGAGTATTCCGACCATACTCAACCAATTTATCTCCTCGTGGAGAAAAAGGAGCTAAAAGTTACCCGCCAACTTGTCAGTGAAACACCCGAGGAAATTTATTTTCCGCACCGCAAACACTATGCGGACAACCACGCATCAGCATAAACGCATTTCCCAGTTACGTATCACAGGAATTTTCCCTTGGTTGTTCAAGATCTTTACAAGCAAGTAAAAGTTGCGCTGAAAGGGTGGTATGCAACCATTTTTTTTAATGAATTTTCATTTTATCATTCAATGTAGTTATCTTCGAGGGCTAGACAACAATTATAACGGTCTTGAGGTCTGAGAACAGGAAAAGTCGCTGGGGGCAGATCTGGAAAGTACGGAGGATGCGGAAAAAATTCCAAGCCCAATTCATGCAATTTTGACATCGTTTTCATTGATTCGTGACACGGTACATTGTCTTAATGAAACAGCGGGCATCCACTGCGTACATCGTCCTCGTTGCTCATTTCCCTCGTTGAAACTTAGCGAACCACTTCTCAACAGTTGATTTTCTTGGTGCAAAATCCTAATGATGTTTATCTCACTATTTTGAAGGACCAAACACTACTGTTCGTTGGAATTTAATTTTCAGGCAGGATTGGCACATTCTGAACCTTTTTCTACTTGATCGATACATCGAATGAATTTTCCTCTGCTATACTCTGCCGTGGTAGTTCAAATGCTCCATTGCAATAACATTGGCACATCAATCCAGGAACCGACTCAATATTTTTCTTTCGAGGAATAATATTGTCGTGTCTATCACATGCCGTTTCGATTGGGAGTGGTTCTCAATCGACGGTAATAATACTCTTCATTCAATTCGGGGAACGATCAGGATGTCGCAGATGGGAGACGGTTTTTCCCTTCAATGAAGGTAATAGTTGGGAGCTCAGGTTAGTCTCATTTATTTGAAAGAATATCGGTAGCGAGAAATGTATGAACAGTGGAAGACTGGATATGGATAAAATTATTTCATTGATTTCTCACGTGAACTATTCCAAAATGTAACTCCGGAAGCTAATGTTGAAATTACCGAATGAAATTGAACCAAAGCGTCTCAATTCAACAAAATAAATGATTCAACCCTCAACTCATCCAGTCCATTATCCTGATTAAGGCTGACATGTAACGAATGTTTCCCAATCCAGCTTCTCAACAGTTTAGATCCATTCTCTAATCTCCAAGCTGTCCAGGGACTAATAAACGCCCGTC